GTCAGTCAAAAATTAATTCTGACAATTAACAGAATTGTACCTAGTGCCGCACCTCAATAAATCATTTTTTGCTTTTTGCATGAACGTAGAAAAAATGTTGTATGCAACTCGTGCAAAAATTGTTTATTGCACTCGACGTGTTGTCCAACTCGGCCTAACGGCCTCGTCGGACAATTTCACGTCGAATGCAATAAACATTCACTTTTTGCACTTGTTGCATAAATAACTATTATCAGAATACAAAAAATGTATCCGTTTTCAAGGTATTTGAGTTTTCTCACATGATATCAGCAGATTAATCATCGGTAACAATATTTTAGGAAGTCATGACCAATTTCGTTCTTAATTTTTTAGTTTAGGGCATCAACATTGTTGTTAATTCCTTTGTTTAGTTTTTCTGCTCATCAGATTTTCATCTGAGATTTCAATTATTACTTTTCTGAACAAACTTAATGTTGATACTTGCATTTCCGCCAATCAGTTCAAAAACGCTCTGGGCCCATAACCTGTGGTAGTGGTGAATAGATTTGAAACAGAAAGGACACTATAAATACATAATTAAAAAACTACCGAGTCGTATGATGTACTATATGTTTATTGACATCTAAATCAACAACTTTGTTTACAATTAAACAAAAGCTTATTATAAAAACAGAATTGTTAGATTATTCTACACTTGATGCTTAGCGAGTGCTTCGGAAATGCAAATGTTACTGTGAGACGTTATGCAGAGATGTTACCCGCTCGACGCATTCCGAATTCGAGAATAATTTTGAAAATTGTGCAATGGTTGCGTGAAACAGGATGATTCAAAACAAAATATAGAAATGGTGGCCAACCAAGAAGTGCGAGGCCTCCTAAAATATTGTTACCGATGAATCAACCAGCTGATATCATAAGTCCAATTTTTTGTATTTTGATAAGAATAATTTTATTGTGTAACTTTTTCCGCTCTATCAAATGCTTTTATTTTTTTCACAAAAAGAATAGAAGGAAAGAAAAAAAAGTATGACCCATCCTCTAAAAACACCAATTATAACATTATCAGAAATGTAGAACTGTATTCATAAATGTATTTCAACAACAAACACTCATGTGGAAATTTAAATCTGGTGGCTTTCGCCGTTCAGAAGTTATAAGGAAAAATATTTCAATATTATCAATTTTGGAAGCATATATCTCCCTTAATATGTATTTTGGGCCATGAGTTAATCTATCAACTGCTTATTTTGCTTTATTTCTTAATGTACTACCACCTCCAGAAAGCTCGATGAACATTTTTGACTCACCCTGTATTTCAACAAATCATCAGTCAAGGTTGCATACAAAATATCAATTTCGAGAATGCAAGCTCTGGCAAAATTTGACTCGATATGATACCAAGCAGATATTTCTTGGTCAAGAAATAACCCATAAACTTTTTTTCTCATGTCTTCTTCCGTCAGATACATTTTAACGTTCGAACAGATTACATATACTATCTATTCATTGTAGGCTCAAGAGTATTATTTCACAATGAATTAGTTTGATTTTGATCTTATCTCTCCGAAAATAATCAGGTATTCTACAAACCAACAAATCAAATGAAATCGTGTTCATAAGTTCTTTCAATTTTTTATCATGATCTAGAGTTAAAAAAGACTATTGATCATGAGCAACTCTCGATTAGATTAGATACCATATTCATATTGCCTTTTTATTTCCAATCAATGTTGCTTATGTGAATCCGCTTCCGATATTCGATTCACTGTATTTATGAAAGTTGGTTTGTCGTGATGATGTCTTGGAGACAATTCTGTTTTTGTATCAAAATAGATAAAAAAGGTATTTATTTCTGACCGGGATATTATAAGCTTATATCGTCATATTTACGCTATCAATAACTCCCTTGGGACATAATAGATTCTATAATACCCTTTACCTTTCACAAGTAAAAATAAAACGAAATGCTAATATACGGGGTGTTTATGTGTATACTGGGTGTTTGGTTTGCCGACGTATATCTGAAAGGGGGTGATAGGTGAGAACATTTCGAACATATTTCACCATATACCGGGTGACACAGGAGACATGTTACAGCCTGTGGTTTTTTTATTTCAAGAGATGAACATTTTGAATTCACAGGGCTGGTTATATTATCGATGATGGCGCTTTCTTTGAACCCAATGACAATTTTCTTCAACCACCTGTCTGATCGGAAGTAGACCCAACTTTTTTTTTTAAATGGCACCCTGTATATTTCTGTAGCCTATCTCATTCGCCTTGCTATTTTCTATTCACCTATGTATCATAATTTGATATTCGTTCATTAATTGACTGGTAAATTGAATTTTATTGAAATACATGAAGTTGGCTGTGGCCCGAATACAATGCTATTTCGATGCTTGATAGGCTTAGAAATCCAAAGATTTAGACGATATTATCAGAATATTTTCCATGCCCTAATCGATCCCAGAAGATTGACAATATTTTCATTGAGTTTGAAAAAATCATTCGAAAATAACTCACGATATTGAGAAAACTCAGATAGAAACTCTTTTTTTTTCATTCGACTACTTGTGAAGAAACTATTTGTCTTTCATTTTTGCCATGTAGCCACAATGTGATCATCCATTTGGATTCATGAAATTGAAATTGTAATAATTGATGTATCGTCCTAATATCGTGAGTCATTTTCGGATGATTTTTTTAAACGATGAAATTATTAGCCATCTTCTAGGACCGATTAGGGTATGGAAAATATTCTGATAATATTGTATAAGTAATGATATTTGGAATTCTAAGCCTGTCAAGCATCGAAATGTCATTGTATTCGGGCCACAGCCAATTTCATGTATTTCAATAAAATGCAGGTTGCCAATTAATGAACGAATATCAAATTGTGACACATAGCTCAATAGAAAATTTTAAGGCAAATAAGATAGGCTACAGAAATATACTGGGTGCCGTTTGAAAAAAAAAGTTTGGTCTACTTCCAATCAAACAGGTGGTTGAAGAAAATTGTCATTGGGTTCAAAGGAAGCGCCGTCATCGATAATATAACCCTTGTGAATTTAAAATTCTCATCTCTTCAAATAAAAAAACTACAGGCTGTTACATGTCTCCTGTGTCACCCGGTATACTACAAAGTGTTACGAATTTCGAGATATCGGTTTTTCAAAAATTTCATCTGGGGTTTTATCTCTTTTTTCTTAAAAAGTTGAATATGTGTTTCATCTATACTGTACACGTGATGGTATCTAAATGTGATAAAAAATGTTTCGGCTCGTTGGAATTCGAAAAACGATTTTTTGAAAACATTCAACTCGAATTGATAAGCGATGATTTCTCGAAAAGTATAACACTTTGTATGATAGTGTATATGGCTAAATATGTTAAAAATCACATAAGATACCACCTGCTTCCGGATATACGTCGGTGAACCAAACAACATGTAAAACAAAACTCCTTATAAACGGTACCTGATTCAAATATAGCGAAAATGAACAATATTTTATTGAAATCGTTCAGAAATAAAATTATCACAGAAATTAATGAGCCTTAATGATTTCAGGCAATAGGCCTGTTAGATAACTCAACTAATAACAAGATTAACTACCTACTTGACAATTCGTGGTATTTGAATTTGCATTGCATAATCAGTCAATTGGTTGATTTCTGTTGGAGGATTATTCAAAATTGTAAGTGGAATTTCATTTTGTATTTAATTAAAGGGCAGATATTCATGACATTCAGTTCCAAAACCCTTCCAGCAAAGTACTTTCAAGTTTAGGTACTCACCTATTATGTACCTACCTATACCTATCTATCTACCATAGGGAAAGAAACAAAGCCTGAATCGATCAATACTAATTTAACTAAATTGCATATAACCTCCAGAAATGTAAGAAGAACACTAATTCCTACCTTATTTCCCTTGGTTCTCACGATGTTCTCTGAACATTACAGGATATCCCTTTTCGTGGGAACCAGAACATGAAAAAAACTTGGTTCTATTTCTATTGATTTTAGTTCAAGCATCACTTCCTTCTTGTCAATAATATTGAGAAATAAGAACAATTGAGTCATGAGGGGAATAATGTATTTTTAACTTGGCAACATTGTGTTAGCGCCAGTTCCATCATCTCTTTTCCTTGTAGACATAATTGCCAGATTAGCGATTAAATTTTCCGGGAATGAGTGCTTGGGATATAGTAACACTTCAACGTAACTAAAATCAAACTAAGTACTTATTTAAAAAGCGTCCTGCATCACATATTATTCTAGCTGATCTTGAAACAAATGGAATACTTTGAAGTTAAGAGTAAATCGCAGTAAATTGAATGTGATTAGCAGTGAATTACCAATGAACTAATCACCTACTACCTAGTAATTTCGAATCATTGCATTCCTTGCACCATATTGCACATAGGATTAATTCAAGGATTTTATAGAGATCTGGCAGCAGCGGATTGATTCCCTGCCGTCAAATCAAATTGCAAGAAGACACTGACATCACAACTCAGTAGCGTTTAAATTCCCAGGTTTCAAAAAGAAAAACGTAAATTCCAAAGTCAGTCGACCACACTTTATATGAAACATTAAAAAACAGTGACCGGTTTCGGCACAACGGCCATCATCAGACTGTGCAGTACAATAGGCCCATTAAAACCATCAAAATATTTTACAAAATCAAAAAGGTCATTAGGCCAAGAAGTCAGGTAAAAGAAATATTTCTGTTATTTCCACAAGATATGGTCTGATATATCTTAGATATTTTTCAGTTCATTAGTAAACCATTCAGAGCCACCATTCCTCTTATTTTCATTATAGTTGGAAAAATATAAGACATATACCGGGTGTGAATGAATAGGTACTAAAAATTTAGGTGGTGATCCTTATATTCAATGAAATTAACAATTTTTCCTAATTTGTTATTCGCTTCGCTCGTCCCGGAAAATTCCATCGTTACACAAAATGATGCGTTTCCTATCGCTACGTTACGTAAATATCTATTTCAGAAAATTTGGAATCGGCCATTTCCAGCGACAACCGGCCAACAAGACAATCTCGATCGCCTCCAGAACAACCAAGGCCTCCTCCCTCAAGACCGTATACTCCTCCGAATCAAGAGTCTCCCGGAATTCCTACATATTCTGCCCACCCCTCACCAACTGCCTCTAATGTCCAGGAATCTCAAAACTTAGATGTCAAGGTAAGCTTAATGATAAAATCTAAGTGACAAAGATAGGTAAACATTTGGTATTCATAATTTATTCTATCTCAATAATTTCTTGCTGGCAGTTATATCTCAGGTCGATTAAAAGCTAATTGAATTTTCAGAATTCTTGTTGAAAAGTGTATCAGTTATACACTATCCTCTGCAAAATATGTAAGCAAACATTCATTATAATTAAATGAATTCAAATGTGTGATTACCTTTGTTTGCCACTTAGTATATTATTGGAGGTAGTATAAGTAGTGCACCTATGGTACTCTCAGTATATCTTTCCTCAAGCGTCTAGCCGAACCATATTCCTGTGGGTCCCAGAACTGCGATTACGAGCATTTTCCGATATTCCCGAAAAGTACTGCCCAGTATATTTTATCGTTCCGATTTTACTGAAATTCACTGGCAACGTTTTCGCGGGTCATTTCAAGGGACCCTGTTAGAGGCTAAAAGTTAACTGTTGGCCACTGGTGCAAAAATGGTGATGTAATGCCAGTATTCATGAAATGTTAGGTTAAACTGGTTAGGTATGAGTTGATAAAAATTATATTGTTAGCGACGATGTTCAAATCACCCTGTAAATAAGAAGAACGCCTAAGGAATGCCTTATCACAAGCGACCTGGACGACTCATCGGTATTAGTAATCATCGTGTGACGAAAAAAAGCAGGTTCAGTCGACTAGCATCGTTGCATGAGAACGAATTACTTGTCGATGTTGTATTTTTTATAAACGGTCATCTTTGTACAAGCCGTCCTGAGTGAATAAAAATGTGTTTGAGTGTTGAAATTGTGTGTATCTACGATGTCTCCATTTAGAATCTTATATCAGAGGTGCGATTCACCCATTTCTACATTACGTCGATAAAATATGAAGAATTTGTTAGCCGATGTCTCGAAGACGGTCAAATCCACGTCAAATTCAACAAAAGGGCCATCGAACAATGCGATTTGCAGATTTTTGGACCTAATCAGAATATTGCAAGGAATTGGTTACGGCTGAGGTTACGACATTCACTTAACAAAATAATATTCGAATAATAAAATTCGGAAGTAGCGGTAAGAGTGGAAAAATAACTATCCTATGAGTCATATATACACATGAGATACACATGATATCAGAATTTGTATGGAATGGAATTTACATGGATACTTTTGGAATTTCGTTTAACGAATATGCAATTTCAGATTGAATTAGTTATGATGCATGTTACATAATATATCCATCAGAATTTGTCGAAATAATAGCAGAGTAGTATCTCAAATTCGATCCGAAAATATTTTCGTGAATTTCAGAATGCATAATGTTCATGATTATTTCGTTTTGCAACTATACCAGATCTCATACTAACGTAATGAGACTAGAAACTATCACAGAGCCTGCATTCTGTATTCACTGCTTGAAGGGACTCTTGAATCACGATCAATTTGATAACAAACAGTAAGTTTTAAAATCATCTATGGTGTCATATGTCATCAAAGTCCGAGGGAAATCTCAAATGAGAATTTCTATGTACAAGTGATGGGAATTGTTGGAATTCGATATTCAGTATTTGAAAGAAATTACCGAAACTATTAAACACTAATATATTATTATTTTCAAATACTTTGGGAATATATATGGAGTTGAACTGAAAGATCTCACAGTGGCAGTAGACGCTGAAACTGCCACTAATCTACAAGATATTGTCCACATCTGATATCAAGTATTTCGCTTTATTTCTTCATCACTGGAACTATACCTTTTCAACTTCAATTTCGGAATCAGTGAGTTATATTTCGGAAAAAGTTATCTCAATTTCAGAATTGGTTAGTTCGATTTCAGAAATGGTGAACTCAATTTCAGAATCGGTGAGATGAATTTCAGAAAAAGTCCATTCAATTTCAGAAATGGTAAGTTGTATTTCAGAATTGGTAGGTTCAATTTCAGAAGATGAATCCCTATATATGTTTGAAATGTTTTCAATTGCAAAAGAGAGGATTGTTTACAGTGGATGGAACGGTGTTTGAGAGTGTGCCTTTGAAATGGGCATCCTGCAGATACCATAGTGGTAGTTCTGGATAATGCACCTGCTCATTCAAGAATAGAAGAGATATGCATGGAGGAAGAATTTCAAGATGTTATATTTTACAGATTGGCACCTTACTATACCTTTTCAACTTCAATTTCGGAATCGGTGAGTTATATTTCGGAAAAAGTAATCTCGATTTCAGAATTGGTTAGTTCGATTTCAGAAATGGTGAACTCAATTTCAGAATCGGTGAGATGAATTTCAGAAAAAGTCCATTCAATTTCAGAAATGGTAAGTTGTATTTCAGAATTGGTAGGTTCAATTTCAGAAGATGAATCCCTATATATGTTTGAAATGTTTTCAATTGCAAAAGAGAGGATTGTTTACAGTGGATGGAACGGTGTTTGAGAGTGTGCCTTTGAAATGGGCATCCTGCAGATACCATAGTGGTAGTTCTGGATAATGCACCTGCTCATTCAAGAATAGAAGAGATATGCATGGAGGAAGAATTTCAAGATGTTATATTTTACAGATTGGCACCTTACTATACCTTTTCAACTTCAATTTCGGAATCGGTGAGTTATATTTCGGAAAAAGTAATCTCGATTTCAGAATTGGTTAGTTCGATTTCAGAAATGGTAAACTCAATTTCAGAATCGGTGAGATGAATTTCAGAAAAAGTCCATTCAATTTCAGAAATGGTAAGTTGTATTTCAGAATTGGTAGGTTCAATTTCAGAAGATGAATCCCTATATATGTTTGAAATATTTTCAATTGCAAAAGAGAGGATTGTTTACAGTGGATGGAACGGTGTTTGAGAGTGTGCGTTTGAAATGGGCATCTTGCAGATACCAAAGTGGTAGTTCTGGATAATGCACCTGCACATTCAAGAATAGAAGAGATATGCATGGAGGAAGAATTTCAAGATGTTATATCTTACAGATTGGCACTTTACAGCCCTATGTTTAATCCGATTGAACATAAATGGAGTGCCTTCAAGTCAGAAGTGAAGAGCTTTTTGCAAGAGCATCGCCAAAGGGTCATAGCTGGGGATCCGAACAGCTTTATCAACCAGATAGAATTCAGACTGCGATGTCTTGAAGAATGTGCAGATCATTCAATGAAAATGATTACACCTCAAATGTGTTTGCATTCTTATAATCATGTGCAACGCTACTATCCTTCTGCGATTCGTATGGAAGTCATCTGTGGATTAAATTGAGATTATAATTATGTTATTGAATTGTTTTTGAAAAGTTGAATATTGTAAATATGGTTTGTTAATCTCTTATGCAATTGGAAACATTTCAAACAAATATAAGGATTTATTTTCTGAAATTGAACCTACCAATTCTGAAATACAACTCACCATTTCTGAAATTGAATGGACTTTCTCTGAAATTCATCGCACCGATTCTGAAATTGAGTTTACCAATTCCGAAATTGAAGTTGAAAAGGTATAGAGGTACTAGATAGAGCTAGGTGTTTCTGATGAATCAGAATCACTATCGAATATATGTCTTCTAAGATAACGTGAGTGAACTAGATAATAAGAGTGATGAAAATAGAAACTAACAAATCAAAACATCGAAAATAGAAAGATCATATGTTATGGTTATGTTTTGCTGCTAGTGTACCAGTACGGCCAAAAATGTTCCAAAAGGAGATGAAAGTTCAAAGCTACTGCTACTGTTTAGTGTTCCTAAATTGCTTACTGTGGCCAGTAACGTCAGCAATATCGGAACATGACCGACGGACCGACGTCGAATGATTCGCCGCTGATGCATGCGCGAAATTTGAAACAATAATAATTGTGGGTACTATACCTTTTCAACTTCAATTTCGGAATCGGTAAATTATATTTCGGAAAAAGTAATCTCGAATTCAGAATTGGTTAGTTCGATTTCAGAAATGGTTAACTCAATTTCAGAATCGGTGAGATGAATTTCAGAAAAAGTCCATTCAATTTCAGATATGGTAAGTTGTATTTCAGAATTGGTAGGTTCAATATCATAAAAAAAAATCCTTATATTTGTTCGAAATGTTTCCAATTGCATGTGAGATTAACAAACCATATTCAAAATATTCAACTTTTCAAGAACAATTCAATCCACAGATGCCTTCCATCTGAATCGCTGGAAGATAGTGGCGTTGCACATGATTATAAGAATGCAAACACATTTGAGGTGTGGTCATTTTCATTGAATGATCTGCACATTCTTCAAGACATCGCAGTCTGAATTCTATCTGGTTGAGCAATCTGTTCGGATCCCCAGCTATGACCTTCTGGCGATGCTTTTGCAAGAAGCTCTTCACTTCTGACTTGAAGGCACCCCTTATAGGTTCAATCTGATTCAGCATAAGGCTCTCAAACACCGTTCCATCCACTGTGAACAATCTTTTCTTTTGCAATTAAAAACATTTCAAACATATAAAAGGATTTCATCTTCTGGAATTGAACCTACCAATAATAATTCTGAAAGACAACTTACCATTTCTGAAATTGAATGGACTTTTTCTGAAATTCATCTCACCGATTCTGAAATTGAGTTTACCATTTCTGAAATCGAACTAACCAATTCTGAAATCGGGATTACTTTTTCCGAAATATAACTCACCGATTCCGAAATTGAAGTTGAAAAGGTATAGTGATCAAAACTCATGTTCATAATTTCAATAGTAATTGATATTACTCAGACATCATAACAATTGTATATGTTTCGATATGTTCAGCAAAGAAAATTCTAAAATTCAAAAGAAGACTACATGGAGATGAAAAAAGAAAAAAATTGTATTCAGCAATCGCATCATATTTTTTATTTATTCACTTTATTCATTTTGAATCAACTTACTATGATATAATACAGTATCACTGTTATTAGGTATAAAATACAAACTACAATATGGACAATAGATATAGGTATATGAAATGAGTAATCAAAACAAATATAGAAAAATCCTTGGATGTAAGAATA